GATTACACCTGCCTTCTTCACTTCCCCACCGTCTAGCAGAGTGCCTGGAACACAGTAAACATCCAATAAGTATGTTGTGAGTGAGCGAGTGAAAGTTGTGGATCGTAATATTCTGTAACGATTAAAGGTAGTCATGTGTAAAGTGGCACAATGCACGAACGTAGAAAGCACTAGTAAGTATTAGCCTTCTCTCTCTCCTCCCTTTCTTCCTTCCTACTTTCCTTTCCTCTTTTCTTCCCTTCTTCCTCCTTCCCTCGCTTCCTTCCTTCTCTCTTTCCTTCTCCCTTCCCTTCCTCCCTCCTTCCCTCCCTGCGTCCCTCTGTGAACTACCCATGCATTAATTCATACATTCAACAAATGTCCAAGCTTCTCTGTAGGCACTGGAGATAGGAGAGTGAGCAAAAGAGAGAAAATTCCCTGCCCTCATGGAGCCTACATTCTACTCAGGGAATGAGTGATTTACTTTGGATCTTCAGGGAGTCTTAAGAATGCAGTTATTAAGAAAAAGAGGTCCCGGCTCAAAGACAGACACACTGGAGGAAGTAAGGAGAGCCTGGAGAAAGGGAAGGCAATTACATTATTGCAGGGATGAGGTATAAAATGGCCTGGATGTGAGTGACAGCAACATAACAGAGGAGTGGACACAAGAAGCAATGGGACAGGATGTGATCCGGAGAGATCTGGATCTGGGTGATGGGATCTGAAGTATCCAAGGGTAATGCAGTGCAAAGATGACGAATGTTTCCAATCTTGTTAGTTTGCTATGTTGCCTTGAAGAGACAGAGAAGTTCGGGGGGGAAGCTGCTCTGTTTGGTGGGTTTTAGGGTGTGAGATGAGGCTAAGTCCAATTTTGGATATGATGCCTCTGAAGAGAGAGAAAGGAATCTAGGTGAAAATGTTTAACTCACCAAGTAAAGATTTAGGGTACAGGTGAAAACCAAACCCCCTTCTTCTCTATTATGAATCATTATAACGTCATTTAAATAACATAAAACATGATATTCTAAGTATTTTCCAAACTCCTCTAGGAATCTGCTCCTTCACGACATAATCTGATAGTTATTCTCTCTCTTCAGCTCCTGAAACACAGTAGGCCCCTAAATAATTTTTGTGAATTGGATTGGTTAGAGTAAGCAAAATTTCATCACCAAGCAAAGAGAAAAGTGCATTTGGAGTCAGAAAGACCTCAATTCAAATGCTTGCCCCCTTCCTTCCTCCACTACCATGAGCACATCATTAGCCCTGTGTCTTTGACGCCTCGTCTGTAAAACATGATCAACTGTATCTTGCAGGATGCTAGGAGAGCATTAAATTAGCTTAAATGCTTGCAAAGTGCCTGTCATTGAGTAGCCACAAAAATGAAAGCACTTATTATATTATTGATTATTATTATCTTTATTACCATGCCTTTCAGGTTTTGCTAAGCTTTCACCATCTCACTTTATCCACCTTCTCATTTCTAACATTCCATCCAGGCGATCCAGCTAGAAGCTGTCCTCTTGGCGTGGCCTCCTGCCAGCCAGCTTTCCGAAAGCCTCCACAGGCCACTAAGCTCCTCTCTGCATGGCTGGCTGGTCCATCAGCTCAAATCGCCCGATTCAACTGACATTACCACAGCTTGCAAATTCCAACATCGCTGTGAGGACTTCAGATTTGGTAATGTTTACGCCGGGTCTACAAATGGTATCACTGTGTCCTTAGCACAACTCACATCATGCAGTGTTTGTAGCAGCTTCTAGCATTTAAATATACTCCTGAGATGTTTTCACAGCAATCAAAAAATAAATACAAAAACTGAGAAAGCTATGTCTACGTACTGTTTACTTCTAAAAGCTAACTAAGAACATGGGGCAAGAATATAGCAGGATTAGTTATAGTCAAAGATGCTAGTTCAGACACATTGATATGCCTCGTTGATGACTATCAGCCATTGATTTCCTCCATCGTTGACTATTACCTATTGATTTCCCTCATTGACGACTATGACCCATTGGTTGAGGCACTGTGCTGGGTAGTGTATAATTTATCTCAGAATGAAATTAATTCTTTCCTAGTCTCACGCATTCTACATGAAAAAATGGAAGTGTTTTTGTAACCTTTACTTTACGCTCTACGGTCCATCCCAAGCTATGGCAATTTCTAATAGGACACACCTGATACTGCATATCTGTGTGTGCACGCGCGCTGTATGGCAAATGCCCCTCCTGTTTGTGCCCCTCCACCCCCAATTCATATGTTGGAGCCCTAATCTCCAATGTATTAGGAGGTGGGGCCTTTGGGAGGTGATTAGGTTTAGATGAGGTCATGAGGGTGGGGCCCCCATGACGGGAATGGTGTTCTTCTAAGAAAAGGAAGAGCCTGCACTCTCTCTGCCCTGTGAGGGTACAGCAAGAAGGTGGCCATCTGCAAACCAGGAAGCAGGCCCTCATCAGACACTGAATTGGCTGGCACCTTGATCTGGGACTTCCTGCCTCCAGGACTGTGCGAAATAAATGTTTGCTGCTTAAGCCATCCAGTGTATGGTATTTTGTTAGAGCAGCCTGAGCTGACCAAGACAGCAAGTGAACATAACCCAGTCCTGAGAATACAGATTGAGGACAGATTAGAAAGGGGAGGGGATACCCCTGAGATGAAGAGGATGGCCAGAGTCCCTCCCAGAGGAGGTCACCATAGCCCAGAGGAATTTGCTGTGGTCACCAACAAGGCACACTGCCACACTGCACCAGAGCCTTGTCCTCATTTTCCATAGTGAGTAAGTCAGCAAGCGTCCCCTGACAGCACCACTGCTTTGCCCTGGGATCAGCATTTTAGGCGGGAGAACGGTCCACCTGCCCTTCCCCCATAGAGGGATCGCTTTTTCTCATCCTAAGGGTTCCAGACAAACTCACAATGGTGACATTTGCTGAGCTGTGGCTTGAATAAAGGGCTCTCAGAGATTAAGATGGTAACTAACATGGAGCATAAACTAGTCGGCCAGGGCGCCACACCCCAGGAATGCTTCTTGGGAGTGACCCACAGCCTTCCAGAGAATAAAGGAATCCCACAGTAGGTGAGCTGTGCAGCAAAGGGTCCTCCAGCTCGACCTTGGCAGCACCACTGGCCAGAACTAACTGAAATGAGGTAAACAAAATATTGCCTAAAAGAGGCTTGTACAAAGAAGCTAGAATAAACCCTTCATTTGGTTCTAAACTATTTTTCTTAAATGCCAAGTAACCTCTAGTACCCCCGTTCCAAAAAAAAAAAAAAAAACTAGAGGAAATGATCTTACTTTTTCCCCCTATCTATTCACTATGGAATCAAGATGCTTCTATTTTTACAGTGATTTTGGAGTTAATCCTTTCAGTACTCCCTAAGTCTTCTAAATACTCAAACAAAACCCTGTGATTTTTAAATTGCTACTTATTCACAAAAAGACTGGCTTGCCTTCGCTCTCTTCATCTCTTTTTGGGGGTAACCACTCTGTTCTGCATGTTACTAATATTGCAACAAAAACCCTTGAGTTGAGTGATTTGCCTAGAAGGGTCTTGGTGGTGGAATCTCAACAGTCCCCTGGTGCCCTAAACCAAAAGTTTTTTGCTCTGTAGACGGTTTTACTTCCCTCACTCCCAGACCGATGGCACGAATTCTTCTGGAAAACAGGCCAAAGGGACCTGTGACATTTTCCAGATAAGTCACCAGAATCCTGCAGTGTGCAACGCTGAACTAAAATGAACACACAAATCTCTTTCTTCCAAACACCCCGTCATTTGCGTTATATAATTGCCTTTCATTAATCAAGTTGGGGTTTTGAAGCAACATCTAATTACTTCTATAATCGGCGCAGATTATACCTTTAATGACTTCCACTACAGCAGAAAAACCAGTGATCCCTGAATTTGATTTTGAAACTACGGACGCTGAGTTTCCTCTTTCACCCAGAACTTTGAGATCGTGCTAAAAGTCGGGTGTGGCTTCACGGGGGGAGGAGGGAGGCTGAGCGGAGACGGGAGGGGAGGGTGGGAGGAAACTTCGCAAGAAAAACCTTCCCCGAGTGCATTCATGATGCTGGAGACGCATGCTGGGCGGCTCTCGAGGGTCTGCAGAAGTTTCTTGCTAAGGAGAAGTCCCCACATTGGAGCAAAATCAGACTTTGGCGAGTTCTTAAGAACTTACGGCCGCTCTCGTCTCCCCACAGGCGAAGCGCACACTAGACAGCGGCGCGCCAGCTCGGAGCTGGGTGAAACTCACAACAAACAGTGCGCGCGGGGCCGGCGGAGACTTGAGTCTGTCTCGTCTAACGGTTTCCTCGAACCGCTAGGAGCCCTCAACCTTGGCGGCCAGTAGAGCGCAGTGACTCAGCGACCCCACCCCTCTCCCCCGGGCTTTCCTCGGCCGCCGCCTCGAAGCTCGCGCCGTCCAATGCCAGACCGAGCCCGTTAAGTCCCTAAACCGGAACCCCCAAGACAAGAGGATGCAGAGAGAGGCAGGGCGCGGCGGTCCCCCTTTCCAAGCGGCCGGTGCGCTAGGCTGTGCGGAGCCCAGCCCTGCATCCCGGGCTGTGCGCGCCCCCACCTCGCGCTCCAATCTCAGGCGCTCTTTGTTTCTTTCTCCGCGCCTTCCGATCTGCTGGATCCCTTACTCCCCCTCTTCCTGCCCCTTTGCCCGCGGGTCTCCCCACCTACCCGCTCCCAGCCCACCGCAGCCCTGCAGTCTCGGGCCCCTCCCACCCGCGCGCCTCCTCCCACGCCTCTTTGGCGCAGTGCCCAGGACTCCTCTTGTCCAGTCCCCGGCGGGTTCCCCCGCCACCGCGCGACCCCGCCTTTTTCAGCACCCAGGGGTGAGCAGAGCTCGGGCCATCATCAGGAAAGTCCCCTAAAGTTCCAACCCAGCCAAGAAGCAACGGGACTGTGCCCAGCCCCGGGCAATGGAGAAGGGGGAGGAGGAAGGCTCGAGGGGGCCCCCGCCCCAATCCCCCGCCCACCCTCCTCGCTTCTCGCCGGGTCCCCATTGGCTGGCGCGCTCCGCGGCTGGGATGGCAGTGGGAGGGGACCCTCTTTCCTAACGGGCCTATAAAAACTGCGCCCTCGGCGGGGTCCCGTCCTCTGCCACTCTCGCTCCGGGGTCCCCGCGCCAGAGACGCAGCAGCGCTCCCACCGCCCGCACCCACCGCGCCCTCGCTCGCCTCTCCTCCCGGAGCTAGTCCGCGCCGCCGCAGCCGCCCAGCCCACCGCCACCCTCTGCAGCCATGTCCACCAGGTCCGTGTCCTCATCCTCCTACCGCAGGATGTTCGGCGGCCCCGGCACCGCGAGCCGGCCGAGCTCCAGCCGGAGCTACGTGACCACGTCCACCCGCACCTACAGCCTGGGCAGCGCGCTGCGCCCCAGCACCAGCCGCACCCTGTACTCCTCGTCCCCGAGCGGCGGGTACGCTACGCGCTCCTCCGCCGTGCGCCTGCGGAGCAGTGTGCCCGGCGTGCGGCTGCTGCAGGACTCGGTGGACTTCTCGCTGGCCGACGCCATCAACACCGAGTTCAAGAACACCCGCACCAACGAGAAGGTGGAGCTGCAGGAGCTGAATGACCGCTTCGCCAACTACATCGACAAGGTGCGCTTCCTGGAGCAGCAGAACAAGATCCTGGTGGCCGAGCTCGAGCAGCTCAAGGGCCAGGGCAAGTCGCGCCTGGGGGACCTCTACGAGGAGGAGATGCGGGAGCTGCGCCGGCAGGTGGACCAGCTCACCAACGACAAGGCCCGCGTCGAGGTGGAGCGCGACAACCTGGCCGAGGACATCATGCGGCTCCGGGAGAAGTAAGGCAGTGCCCATGCAGGGCTGGGGGGAGGGAGGGAGGGGGAACGGGCCCCCGCGAGGACCTGCCACGCCCTGGGGGATGTGTCGGGGCGGCGGCTGCTTCGGGGACAGCAGGGGAGCGAGGCTGTGGCTGCAGCGGCGCAGCCCCGCCCCGAACCCAGAGCTTGAGTTAGCATTTCCCCTCCACCCCCACTCATTGCCCAAGAACGCCCCGTTTCAAGTTACAGATTTCTTAAAACTGGCACTTGGTCAGTAGTCGAAGCCCGCGATTTCCCCAAACTTTTAGAAAGTTGCCTGGCCCCACCTGGCGGGCTGCCAGCCCTAGGGCGGGAGGGAGGAGGAGGGGATCGCTGTGCAGGAAGCGAGACAAAGGGATTGCAGAGGCTCCTCGGGGGCGGAGGGCGGGGGGCGGCGTTGGCCTTGCAGGTGGGTGTGGCGACCGTGATTGCTTTTCGACGCTGCGGCCGAGGTCCCGCTAAAACTTGGCGAGGGCTGCCGTCCCAAAAGCCGCGGTCACTGGCTGCCCACGGAGGTGGCGCAGCAACTCTTGTCTCGGGACGCGGCGGGGGGCGGTTGGGTGTGGCCGCCCCGCCCCTGGCGGTTTCCCAGTTCCCCTTTGATTCATGTGCGACTGTTTCAGGTTGCAGGAGGAGATGGTTCAGAGAGAGGAAGCCGAGAACACCCTGCAGTCTTTCAGACAGGTTTGTAGATTCTCTTTCCACTCGCAGCCACCGGACCCCGCCCAGCCGGCCCACGGGCAATTCTAAAAGTTACTTAAACCGAGTCTAAAGAGTGCAAATCTTCACGTCTGTGCGCAAAGCCCCCTAGTGGCAGAAAGACCACAGATTGGAGCTTCTCATAAAAACCTTTGAATGCTTTAAGCCGTTCCTTAGGACAGAAAGTCTTTTTAACTTTTTACTTTGTTTCAAGATCTTTTCCAAAGAAATATTTTTTTCCATTTCTTTTTTGCAGCCCATTGACATGCTGATTCCGAACAGTTACAGTTCGATGTAGATTGCGGTTTGCTAAAGTCAAGGTGGCTAACTTTTACAAGGCCACAAAAAGCGCAATTATGCCCTGTAATTTAAAACATAAAACGTGTTGGAGGATAAGAAACTTAGTTTAACTGGAATTAAGCCAGCAAGTTTCCTTTGTTCTCTGCAAGTTCCACTGTGGCATTAAAGTTAGAGGGAAGTTTCGCTATGCACTACTATTTTGTGATCTAAGAAGGGTGAAAAGGAGCCATCTGTCCCCTTGGCTGAATGGTATTAATGGTTTCTAGGGGCTTCACTATGGAATGTAGATACAGACATTCTGGCAAGTGTGGTGGCTCTGGACAGAAATAATAGGAGTCTTTGTGTTGCCAGAGAAGGTTTGCAGCAGGCTACATTCTTATTGAATATGTAATGATGTAAGCACAGTTCTAATTGGACACAAGTATTTGCTAACATCCGTTATCTAATATCTGGCCTGGACTTGTGAAGTATGTGATGTGGAAAGTTCTTAAAGCTACAGTCATAACCTCACATTTGGAAAGGCCTTTCTTCGTTGGGTTCTTGTATTCTTTAGCACTTTCTCCGTAAATAAAGAATAACCGTAAGGCTGAAGAATGGAATTTTAATTAAAAGGGTTTTTTTGCTTTGCAGTTAGATGGACTTAAGGGTTTTTAACTTGAAATTGGAATTCAAAAGCAGGAAAAGTTCTCAGCATAGTTTTGTTCTCCTGAACACTTAATAGTGGCTGTAAAAGCACTCTCAGATGAATAGTCTAGAATAATATTTTGAAGCAGAAATACATTTGCCAAATTAATTTAAACACAGCAATATGTGGTTCATTTTAGTCATTGGGCGTTTATGATCATATATTTGTAATGTTTCCCGCAGAGTCGTGAGTTAATATAAAAATTGTATTGTATAAAAATATACAATATTGGTATGAAAGATCTCCTATTTAGGGATTAGGTAAAAATCCCTCATTCTCTTCAATGAGTTAGAATGTCACACTGAACTTTTTTATAGAGGTTAGTAAATTATCTTTTATATCTTTTTTAGGGCTTAACAACAAGCAAAAATGAATATTTTTCCCCAAGCCTGATCTTTTTATCACCCATTTCTTATTCACTTTTCCATGAAGGTGTTAGAACTGTCTCAGCATTTTAAGACTGTAAGACTATAAACTGTATTCCAAATATAATTGCTTACAAGATAAGAGGTATAAAAATCCTCGTGACGTTCCCTTGAGGGGAAATAAAATCTTTGGCACGCAGCAGTTCATAAATGGTGGAAACACAGTAGATGCGCCAGAGCAGCAAGAATTCTACAAAGAGTTTTATTTTATGCATTTTGACCAGTCATTCTGAAACTAGCTGAGTAACTGAATTGACAAAGTGATAAGTAAAAAGGATGCACACACCCTTGTAGGATGATGCAGGGGAGTTTTAGGAGAAAAATCTACCAAAGAAAGCAAAGCAAATACAGTTCAGAACTACATTTCTTTTCCTTATTTGCTTAAAGTGCATCTTTGCCAGTACACATCTTGAAGTGGAGTATAAATTTGTCACCTGAATGCCAGATCACTACATACTTGCTTTGCATCCTAAAGATAAGTTTCGGAAGATTTGAGTAGAGAAAAAAAGAGCTTAGGTATATGCTGAAACTTTTGAAGTGTGAATTTCTGTTCTTCATGTACTCATGTATACGTGAAGTTGTGAAATCTGGTCAACCCCCATTATCACATTATTCCATGACATTACAAAAAAAAATCTTAAAAACTCTGTAACATTGATTTACTAGATTTAAAAAAATAATAATAAATTTCAGTGGTATAATGTAGATTCAGTGATAATTGGTTGAGCGCAGTTTATCATGTTGGCATACATTTATTTATTTTTAAATTGTCTGTTAGCCACCTTGAGTACAACATAGCGGGTCACAATTCAAATTTATTAATGAAGAGAAGAAAACAAAGTATATGATAGCAGTGGGTGATTTTACAAACTTATTCCAAGGTCGTAAAATTTGTCAACACCCTGTTTATAGTAAAGAGACTTAGCCCATATGGTTAATTTAAAACGAATAAATGAGATAAGCCGTTAACTTTAGCATCCTCCTCCATGTCCTTTCTTTTCTCTTTTCAAAATAGGATGTTGACAATGCTTCTTTGGCACGTCTTGACCTTGAGCGTAAAGTGGAATCCTTGCAAGAAGAGATTGCCTTTTTGAAGAAACTACACGAAGAGGTAAGCACAGTCAGTCGCTTTTCGTGAATGAATGTGGGTGAAGGAACGTGCTCCCATACTTGGCACGGCTGACCTTCTGACTGCTCTTTCTTCAGGAAATCCAGGAGCTACAGGCCCAGATTCAGGAACAGCATGTCCAAATCGATGTGGATGTTTCCAAGCCTGACCTCACGGCTGCCCTGCGGGACGTTCGTCAGCAGTACGAAAGTGTGGCTGCCAAGAACCTTCAGGAGGCCGAGGAATGGTACAAGTCCAAGGTATGGAACAAGCCAGTGGCTAGAACAAAAGAAAAGCATCTTGTTCTGCAAACACTGTACCTATCTGTGATTCCTAAATACTGTTCAGCTCCAGTCAAAAAGCTGGCTTTAACTTCTTGTTGAAGTTTCGTTTGTTGCTACAGCCTCCCCACCACTCAGGCCCCCTCCCCTGTAATAGCAGACTCACTTTCCACTACCTTCCTTCACCCTGCTTCAAAGTACACCCCAACACCATGCTTCTGACCCGCCACCCTTTTAAATGAGGGTGATAAATAGTGAGTTTCTACTTGAAAATATCAACGCCAGCATTCCACTGCTCTTTCTCTGGTTTTGAAGACAGAAATTGAGACGTGTTCTGGAAGACATTGAGATTTGAACATACAATATAAAATTTGGTTTGTGTCATGCCTTGTCTATTTGTTTGTTTGTTTGCCATCTTTAAGCTTTCTCATTTGTCCGGGTAGGGTAGCATCTTTGAGGATCTGTGAGCAAGCCACTGGAGTGATCTACATTTCTGATTTCTTCCTGACAGTTTGCTGACCTCTCCGAGGCTGCGAACCGCAACAATGATGCCCTGCGCCAGGCGAAGCAGGAGTCAAATGAGTACCGGAGACAGGTGCAGACGCTCACCTGCGAAGTGGATGCTCTTAAAGGAACTGTGAGTATCACACCGCAGTAAAAGAGGGAACATAACCAGTTCGGATCCTTTCAATTGACCAAGCTAATGGTGATATCTGAACAAAACTTCAAATGAAGAAAATCCGAAGAAAGTGAGTTGTTAAGACAGATTCAAAAAGCGCTTTGAGATCTGAAGGTTTCTGCTTACATATATTGTTGCTTCTAGCAAGAAAGACTTGGTACTTGTATTAGCTACCTGAAATTGGAGGGTTCGCCATTTGCCACCAAGGGAAAAGATTGCAAATGGTCTGTATGTGGTTCTGGGAATGGCTGGGTTTTTCTGGGAAATCGTATTGGAAGCCTTTCTTGCCTCCCGCAGAATGAGTCCCTGGAACGCCAGATGCGTGAAATGGAAGAGAACTTTGCTGTTGAAGCTGCTAACTACCAAGACACTATTGGCCGCCTGCAGGATGAGATTCAGAACATGAAGGAGGAAATGGCTCGTCACCTTCGGGAGTACCAGGACCTGCTGAATGTTAAGATGGCTCTTGACATTGAGATTGCCACCTACAGGAAGCTGCTGGAAGGCGAGGAGAGCAGGTATGGAACAAGGACGTGTGTGCGTGAATTAATAGCTGCCATTTGCTAGGTATCATGCCATTCGCGTTACATACATGATCTCGTTTCATCTTTAGAACATTTCCAAGTAGCTATTTACCACTTTTTATACATGAGCAACCATCGGTTCAGAGAAATTTAGTAACTTGCTCTAGGCAGAGTTAATCAACAGCGGAGCTGGGATTTGAACCCACAACTCTGGGAAAGACAAGCTCCTCGCACTCTATAATGCCTCCATTTCATGCCCCTGCAGAGAAAATGCTTTGAGTAAAATATTTTAAATGTACTAATGAGACCAATCATAGATAAATGCTTCTGAAGCAAATCTCACACTTATGAATCACAAGAGTAAATTTTCTTATTTGATGAATAAAGAAGTGAATAAATTCATTCCTTGTTGTTGGAGTTGTTTTCCAAAAATATTACCATTCTTCTTCATCTTTTTATAGGATTTCTCTGCCTCTTCCAAACTTTTCTTCCCTGAACCTGAGGGGTAAGTATTTGATTGCCTTTTATGAAAAATATCAGCAGCTTGGAACCATTCTGTTAAAGCACTAATTTTTTTTATGATACTTGAGAAATGCCATACAAGAGAATATTCTAGAAAACATTCATAATTTTCAGACACAAGTAGTGTCAAGTACTGTCTTGCAATCTATGCTTCCAGTCAAACTCCATCTGCCTTGTTCCTTCGGAGTCTGCACTGAAGTGCAGTCCATCTTAATCTTGATGCTACAGTGGTGTTAGACAATGGGTTTTAAAATAGGTGATAGTCTTATTTGGAGAGTAGCACTTTAAACAATTGTGAACAAAAATCATAACTCTTTGAGCAAAATAGTTACTTGGCTTTTTAAAATTTCATTTTTATTCACTTGGGGCCTGTTTCTTTATTCAGAAACCAATCTGGAATCACTCCCTCTGGTTGACACTCACTCAAAAAGGACACTTCTGATTAAGACGGTTGAAACTAGAGATGGACAGGTAGGTATCTTGAAATCAAAGCTGGAGTAATCTCAGACAGACATCGATGTCCTTTTAAATCGTTCAGTCTGTATCTCAGATACACCTAGCTAATTTGGAGGGTGTCGGTTTCATTCATGACTACTAAAAAGAGAATAGGCCACTTCTTCGAGCACTACACACAGCTAAATTATTTGGCTCCTACACTGAAGGTGAGATAGCAATCTTTCTATAGGCTAAAATTAGTGATTTTTCTATGGCCCTTAATTTAAAATGAGAGAACAGCTTCCTTAAGTTACTTCCTAGACTGGCTTCATGAACTACTTCATTTGACAACCTCAATATCAGGAATGTTTTGATCCTGATGGGTGGCCTTCCCTGGTGACCATCACCTAAACACTCCTAGGCCCTTTTATGTAGTACAAGGACATGCTGTATGTTCAATCAGTTTCTCGTTACTTCTCTATGCCAGGAAAGAAACGGTCAAAATTCATTGTAGTCTTCATGTAATCTTTCCATACATATGAACTCAAAATGTACTTACTGTACATTTTAATATGTCTTAATTGCTTTTAAACAGTGCTGCATAAGATTATTACGACATCCTTTAAAAGCACAGTTTTTAAAAAGTTTTCTTAATTTTTAAGTCATAACATTGGATATGTATTTTCCCCATAGGTGAAAAGCATCTTACGTATGTATCCGTCCCATATAGCTGTAGCCCTTGTCATGCAGAACCAACATAACCTTCCAACTCTCACAATAAATTAGGATTTTTCTTTGTCATGCTTAATAGGGTGATTTAATCTTTAGCATGTAGTATTCTATTTGATGAGAGTTTTATTTTTTTTTAACAGGTTATCAATGAAACTTCTCAGCATCACGAGGATCTTGAATGAAAATTGCACACACTCGGTGCAGCAATATATTACCAGCAAGAGTAAAAAAGAAATCCATATCTTTAAGAAACAGCTTTCAAGTGCCTTTCTGCAGTTTTTCAGGAGCGCAAGATAGATTTGGAATTAGGAATAAGCTCTAGTTCTTAAGAACCAACACTCCTAAAAGATTTAGAAAAAAGTTTACAACATAATCTAGTTTACGAAGAAGCCTTGTGCTAGAATACTTTTTAAAAAGTATTTTTGAATACCATTAAAACTGCTTTTTTCCAACAAGTATCTGACCAACTTGTTTCTGCTTCAATAAATCTTTGAAAACTGTTTTGTTGTCTTACTTATTTGATAATATCTAAACAATTGTCTAAATTTTATGAGAATGTATGTTTTAAATATTTTTTGGTCCTATTGGTTAATTGGCCACAAAAATCAAGTTTAGGTTAACTTGATAAATTCAACTTATTTATTTACGCTTGAGATAGAGTTCTTAATTTGGTCATTTTAGGTAGACTTCACCTCTTTTCAATTCAATTATTTTTTAAATTTACAAATAGGTGATATATAATAAAAAGACTTGTACAAAAACGATGATAACGTCTTTTCATAAAATGAGTTCAGCTGGGTCCACATCCATGTATGATTTCAATTCTAACAAATAGACTTCCTAAAATTAAAAACTTTCACTAAAATTAAAAACTTTCACTAAATGAAACTTGTGGTGTGTGTAGCATATGAGTAGCACCAATGCCACTGTGGGCGTTAAAGCATAGGGCAATGGCCAAGGTGGAGGGGCTGTACCTTCTATTAGCCAGATGCAGAGAAGGGGAACAAGTTCGTCAAGTTTCAACATATGAAACTGTCTTGAGTTTCTTTGTGTGTATCTATATGTGATAGCTATAGATATTTTTAAAGACCTTTGTGTTTGGCGGAATGATCGTAGACACAAACACAAATCCCTAGTTTTTCTTCTGGGAGATAAGATTAACACACCTGGTAAAATGATGCTAAACGTAAGTGTAATCAAGTTTCAACGCCTGGAGCCTTGGAAGAAGTGGTGCAGTCCTGGAGAGCTTCTCTTAGGCCCTGCAGTGTGGGCGGGCCTCAGGAGGGTGGATGGAGTTTAGACAAATAGGAGAGGGAGGGCATCACCCGGAGGCCGTCGAGTTGTCATGGTTGGTAGTGTGTGTGTGCTGGAGGGAAAGCTTTGAGTAAATTCCTGGACGTCTCTAAGTCCCAGTTTCCTGGATTACTATTACCCCTCTCCAGGAATGATGTGCTAGGCATTTGTACTCATTTTTAGATGTTTGCATCCACCTCTCTTTAGAGTCGCTGAGGGGAATAGTAAGATAGTTCACACAAAGCCCACCGAAGTGCCAGGTGCTGTGCGAAGGAATATCAGCTGTCACATTACCTGTGATGGTCATCGTATTTGGTACTTCGGGCACTGCATGAGTAAAGAAGGGATTGGCTGCAGGAGGGACCCCAACGAGGGTGACTTTCCACCCTAGTTTGCCTAGGACAGTCTTGGTTTATGCTTACTCATTAATAGTGCCCCCTTTCATAATTGTACCGTAGTTGTAACAGTTTGGATAGTAGGTGATCTGGTCGTCCTACCCTTAGCATAATCTTGTAGGAAAGGGCGTTCGTCCCGAGATTCCTTGAGCGTGCCTTCCCCACCCCCCCCACCCCCATATTTTAACAACTGACGTGCTAAATGGCGTAATCAGCATCACCAGAGCAAACGTCCAGGTCTTCGGGCCCTTAAGAAACTTTTTCTGGGGGCCGGCCCCGTGGCGTAGTGGTTAAATGCATGCCCTCCACTGCTGGCAGCCCGGGGTCTAGATCCCGGGCGCGCCCTGATGCACTGCCTGTCAGGCCATGCTATGGCAGTGTCCCATATAAAGTAGAGGAAGATGGGTACAGATTTAGCCCAGGGCCAGTCTTCCTCAGCAAAAAGAGGAGGATTGGCATCAGATGTTGGCTCAGGGCTGATCTTCCTCATAAAAAAAAAAAAAGCAAAATGAAAAAAAAAAAGAAATTTTTTCTATTTGATTGTTGGCTTTGTTTTCTGTCCTTCAGCTATTCTCACCATGTTCTCTCAGCCTCCTAACCCTCTCTCCCCTGTCTCCTCTTCCATTTCTACCCCACCTCTGGCACCTGAGGATCACACAGGGCAGAAACCAGCCCCATGTTGCTTTTCTTCAAGCATATGACCTTTTATTATTAAAAAAAAAAATCAAGCTACAGTGTTTTTTTTTTTTAAAGATTTTATTTATTTATTTATTTTCCCCCCAAAGCCCCAGTAGATAGTTGTGTGTCATAGCTACACATCCTTCTAGTTGCTGTATGTGGGACGCGGCCTCAGCATGGCCAGAGAAGTGGCGTGTCAGTGCGCGCCCGGGATCCGAACCCGGGCCGCCAGCAGCGGAGCCGGCGCACTTAACCACTAAGCCATGGGGCCAGCCCTACAGTGTTTTTTTTTTCCAGGAGGAAAGGAACCAGGATGACAAGGAGTTCTGTCCACATACCTTGAGACTAGTGGGCTCCCCATCCTTAAAAATCCCTTACAGCTCTTTCTAAAATCACCTCCCTGAAATGGAAAAGATGAGTTGGCCTCCCTTATCTGTGACTGTCAGAAATTAGCCCTTCATGACAAGTGTCCCAGGGGCCCACCTCATAGGAATTCAAATCTAGTTAAGTCTTTTTTATTTTTATCTTTAATTATACCATTGGCATTTTCCTTATCTTCCATTTCAAAAAACTAATAGAAAGAAACGATGTTCTCACCACCTATGGTGAAGCAAAGATTAATGGTTGGTTCTTTTATGTATAACGTTAATCCAAGATTAAAGGAGATAAAAAAAGGACCAGGAGGAGGAAATGATGTCACACTTTATGTCACATAAAGTGTAAGTCTGAGAAAAGTTACCAAGGGGACTGAGAACTCCACGGAAATCATGTGAAAGTTAAGTCCTGCTAAGTTTTCTCACAGCAGTGACAGACGGAAGAGGTGGCTGGCGACTGAGACAAATGTCTGATTCAGTTAGAGCATGCCTAATGTAGAGTCCACCTCCCCATGACCAGCCTCTGACAAAGGCCTAGGAAAACGAAACCGCTCTTCTAAGGTTGGGAGACGAAGGGAGTAAGTGTGTGCAGTGATGGGGGGGCACCTTCTTCCACCCCTGTGTTCCTGAAGAAAGCAAGGATAAAGCAGATGCTACGCCCAAAGAAGTCTCACTAGCCAACCTGCCAGGTTTCAGCTAAATAAAGGGTTTGTGTTAATCTGCCAGGGCTGCCATAACAAAATACCACAATCTGGGGGGCTTGAAAAACAGAGATTTATCGTCTCACAGTTCTGGAGGCTGAAGTCCAAGATCAAGGTGTTGGCAGCATTGGTCTCTTCTGAGGCCTCACTCCTTAGCTAATCTCTTCCTATAAGGAAACCGGTTATAGTGGATTAGGGACCACCCATATGACTTCATTTTACCTTAGTTAGCTCTTTAAAGACCCTATCCAATCCAAATAGAGTCACATTCTGAGGTACTGGGGTTAGGACTTCTACACAGGATTATGGAACAGTGTGGGCCGGGGGAGGGGGGAGGAGGGGGAGTGGGACAGGTCACACAATTCAGTCCACAACAGGGTCATGGTTAAACATTCGGAGGACACTTTCCTTGCCTGTACTCCCAATAGGTCTGCGATAGAGATTTTCAAAAAGCCATAAGTTTGCAAAGTCATTGATGGTTAACACACTGCTTGAAGATTTGTGGCAACCTGTGACTGTCTAATGTCTCCACTTTTTAAAATCCCCTCTCTAGGATGAGAACAATTTGAGATAAATCCTGTGGAGACTTTCTACTAACAGCTATCATGTAAGGCAAGTGTTTCTTTGGGGGCACTGTAGGAGGTGAGCAGACCCTGCTGTGGATGGCTCTGGAAGAGTCAACAGAACCTAATAGACTGCACTCAGATGAGGATTTTCCTTAGTCCAAGAAGACCAGAATGACACAAGAGAGCTTGCTTTCCCTCTGCTCTGCTTTCTGCCATGTCAAGACGCAATGAGAAGAGGGTTGTCTGCAAACCAGGAAGAAGGCTCTCACCAGAACACCAGATCTGCTGGCACCTTGATCTTGGACTTCCCAGCCTCCAGAACTGTGAGAAACAAATTTCCGTGGTTTAAGCCCCCCAATCTATGGTATTCTGTTATAGCAGCCCCAATTGACAAAGACGAACAGGGAATGTTGGATCTAGCATGTTGGATGTATTTTACTTCACAAATGTTGCCAAGCAGCTATACAGGTCACTTCCATTCAATTCAGTTCTCCTGAGCCAGAGCCAACAAGAAGGAAGGGTCAAGTTCTGACCTTGGAGTTCAGACCGTGGATTCTAACCCCAGTGCTGATCATAACTCAATGTGGACCCCCGTCTCCCTAGAATATTAAAATTCCCACATCTTCTCTTTTGTTTTCTTGACCATATCAACTGTAATTATATTATTGCATTATTTTTTTGTATTTATTTAAAAGTCCTTATCTGTTAATGTCAGTACGTGAATCATGTGAATTTGTTTATATTGTCTGTTTTCTCTTTTGGTTTTTGATTATTTGGTCTTGTTTTTCGCATGAGTCATAATTTCTTACTGGATGCTGAAGATTTTAAATGAATACTTGTTAAGGCTCTGGACTATGTTTTCATCCTCAAAAGAGGAAAGAAAGTTTTCTTTTTACAGGCAAATAGAGTACCAGTGGATCATTTTGATCCTGGTAAGGGTTAATTTTAGCCTTTTTAGGCCTGGTCTATTTTAAGTCCATTATCTTAGTACTGGACTTACTTCTCAAGTGTCTCCCTTAGCTCTAGTACGGGACATTTCTGGGTCTCAACTACAGCCTGGATGCATTTATCAGAGCCGTTCCACTTTGGAAGAACTTAAACTCTAGCCTCTGTTTCTCCAGAACTATGCAGGTCCTGAAACCTCCGCTCAGTTTTTAGATTCCCTGCTGCCGTTTTCTGCTGGGTTTCTTGGGGTCTCATCCTGAACATACACAGCCTAGGAGATGGCCAACAATTGGGATGAATCTCTGTCCACTTAGCCCAGTAAGAACACCATTTTCTCTTTGAGCTCTCTCTCTCATTTGGAAATTGTCCTCATGGAAAGACTAGGTGAATGTGGATTTTACCTTGGACACTTTCCTTCTCTCAATGAGTAGAGACTTCAGTCTCAATTCTTGACTGTATTGGTTGCTCTCAAAAACATTCAAAGAGTTGTGTGTGTGTGTGTGTGTGTGTGTGTGTTTTCATGGAGTGGAGAGGTATTCAGTTATCT